AAGTGTGCCGTGGAGTTTAGTAGAGTCTTATATATCCATGAATATATAATTGTACAACATTGTGTGTACAGTATATATTTGATCTAATCACATTAATTTGAGATAACACAATACTAATTATATTATAACATTTTATATTTAAGTAATTAATTATATAAATGATATAAACATTACTTTTCACAGAATTGAAGTAAATCAAACCATTTTATAATTTCTATTACGATTCAAAGTAAAAACAAATATTAGGCTTGCACTGTAAGTGACATGAACAAAACAAAACGATATTATTATCATTATTATTATTATTATTAAAATCACAGCCATGTCAAGTGAATGAGCTTGTTAAATTATTTTAGATATAACTTTGGTTGCTTACTTAAAACTATTTATTTGATTTAAATTCAATTAGTATGATGTTTTGATGAACTTGTTAAAAACGTGTTTTTTTATATGAATGAATATTTACCTTAAATGCCCTAAATACAAAATCCTGTAACTTGTCTGCATCAAAGACACTCTGCACAACAGCAATGAGCACTTGTCAATATAAATGCATTACAGTACCACATGTGTGCCTGTTCGTAGAGCCCAAACCCCAAACTCTTTTATTTTTGTCTCCTCTTATTTTTCATCTACTGTATTTCAGATTATTGCTGTACGTCCCAGCTGTTTTAACGAGGTGTGTGCTGAGTCCGCATCACATCACGTGCTCCACACTGGCAGCGCCCGGCGAGCCGTCACAATATGCCCCTCAAGCATTACGACTGCTGCCGCACATCCTCAATTCCCAGTCCTGGGATTTGCTGCTCTATAGCAGGCAGCCTGGCCTGACACTTTCTAAAGATAAAGATGCTGAAACTACTCTGAGCTTTATGTCTTTTGTTTTCCTTCTGTCCCCGGGTGGCAGGGATAAACAGCTCTTCGCTGGCAAGCTTGCCCACACACCCCTCTGTTTTGTGCTGTGAGAATGATGTTGTGTTCAAGAAATAGAGCACGGTGTACAATTCAAGAGCAAGATGTACAAAAACCAACTGGTGATCACTGGTGGATACATGTCAGACATATTTATGTCATATTCTGAAGCCTAAATATCTCAGCAGCACAGTTCAACTCTATGGGGGTAATTCAGTAAACTGTTGTGTCACTTTCACGTGTGGTATTTCAGCGCAGAAACCTATTTACTGTGCTATACACCTTTCAAGACGGACCTACCATGAGCTCCGAAGTTATTATTAATCGATGATGTATGCTTTTGTTGAAGCCATCAGTCATTGTTTAAACTTAAATTTAATTTAATAGTAATTTAATAGTAAAACTCCACGGTGAACACCTAGTATACAAATTCTGAAGACCCACCCATCACTGGATCGTATTACCACATTGATCTTAATACACTCTCTAACTTACATTTTTACTAAATAATTCTTAGCTAAATTGAATATTATATATATATAAAGCCAATGATTTATAATGATATATAATTTATACAGTACAGCATTTTTTATTTGATGAATACATTTGCAGTGCTTCACTGGATTGTAGTTCATTCCCTCATAGAATACAGTTTTTATAGGGTTTTTTCCCCCTGCTTTTCATTTACACACACACACAGTTTATATTTATATTACATATTAGTTTATATAGTTTCATATTTATATTATATTCAATTTATTAACTTATTATGTGTTGTTAAAATAATTATGAATGTATGAATTATTACAATATATAGTTTCAAATATTATTTCACATATTCAAATAATATAAACATAATAAAATAATATAAATAACAAGTACATATTATTTTTACAGATATATATATATATGTTTTCTTTTTTTATCTAAATACATAAAAAAATCATAAATAGAAAAAAATCTGCCTCTCTCCAATGATACTCTTAAGTACGACTAATGAACCATATTTTTTGGAGTAGTACATGTCTAGCTGCTCTGGGAATGTGTTTACAGACTGTTGCAGGCTGACAGGCAGAGCCCAGCAGGACCTCTGATCAACTCAGTCTGTTTCTGCTCAAGTCATGCACACACACACACACCCACACACACACACACATGTACATACAGTATACAGCTGGGGGCCATGAAGCCCATTTAAGAGATATGACAGACAGATTGTGTGCAGGTGCCATCCTTCAGGTAAGAGTGACAGTGCTGCTTTAGGCTGTTGCCACTGATTCTGTGTCCCCAGGGTATAAAGAGTTTTCGAGAAAAGGCCAGCCATGCAGTGTCTGGGCTATATGAGAGTTCACTTCTATCTAAATGCTAATTGTCCCTTTTGCCTGGAGATGAGGAAAGGGAACAGAACAAAAAGGGCTCCATCGATTGGTTGTATGGAGGACGGAACACTTTGTTATCAAGTTATTATTATGCAAAGAAAAATATGTGTATGTTCTGCAATACATGCTTAGTATTGGCAATGGGATGTGACCTTTTTCTTGTTTCAGTATCTATTGTATTCATTAATTTGAACTGACAAGTGAAAAGACAAATCTTGAAATTTCTATTCTGTGTGTTGAATTATGGTTTTTCATGGCTATAGTTCTGAGCCATTCAAACATTCAGGCTCCCAGACAATGTTATACAGAACATTTTGAACTCTGTAACTTGTACAAAATGAACATGCCTTTGTAATTTAAGAAGGTTTTTCTAGGATATGCCAGACTTTCAGAATTATGCTTTAGTCAAGCTCAGGCACTTATACGTAATAATAATTAATGTGATTGTTTGCATATTGACAAGAATGTGAACAGGAATTATAGAAAGCTAAACGTTAAGAAACACCTGAAATGTTTAATTTTTAAATTTTATTTGAGATATATTTGAATTTTTGTATAGATTTTAAACAGTCAGTTAGCATATAAGGAGTTAACACTTGGGTAGTGTACTATTAGAAATTACTCTCTAATCTCCCATATTAGCAATACACAATCAGAACTGAGCATTTAATCAGTCTAGTAGATTGGGTCACCTCTGCATGGGCATGAGGGTTGTTATTCAGTGGCAGCTGAAGGCAAGCAGTGGGGCCTTGGGCAGAATGCTCAAGTTACCCAGAGCTTTTAGACATCATTAGAAATCACAACTATTGATCCTTCTGAAAGCAACAGATGGAGCTCAGCTCACCTACAGAGGGTTTGGAGCCAGCCGATACAGTAAGCCAGGAATGACCAGACAGAAACACTGTCAGCATAATATTCAATTCATGTGGCTTGGTAAGTTGGTTTTTGTTATGTTGCAGGTGGATACGACTATTGGCATGCCTGAAGCATCATGGAAAAGCAGACATTTTTGGTGCAATTGCAGTATGTCAACCATGATTAATTTCATCTGTTATGCACAAAAAGTTCAAGTTAAGCCTAAGTAAGTAGAGATGTAAAAGTATAAAGTTTCCATTTAGCAAATCATGTGATTTAATAAAATTATATATACAGTATATATATATATATATATATATATTTATTTATTTTTTATTTTTTTTGTGTGTGTGTGTGTGATTTAATAAAATGCCGTTTTATGCATCAAAGGGTCAAAAGTATACTTTTCTAAAATGTCACAACTTTTTTTTAAACTGTGTATCTTTAATTTAGTTTAATTTAATTTAGTCTCTGTTTTGTGTTTAAAAGCCTAAAACTTTCTGTTCTTTCAGCAACACGTAAACATACACTGAGTGACAGGTTTTCTTCTGACATCAATAGCTATTCATTACATGGCCTGAACAAAGAGAATCAGAATACGTATCACATCAGGCAGGCGGACAAACACAGTCTCAGTCCCTGAATCACATGCACGCCGCCACAGTCTGTGACAGAATTGATGAGATTTGTAGAGGCTTCAGCAGTCAAAATGAAAATTAATACGACAGCAGGGACTGGCGCACACAGTCAATCAGGGTCTAGGCTCTTAGTACTGGCCTGGTGAGGTCCGGTTTAGATGGGCAGTGTCAGTCTCTGGGGACAAGGGCACTGAGAAATGATCACATCCTCTTGTCTGTGTACAAGAGAGCCAGGGGAGAATGAGGAGTCTGGAACTTCCTGGAATCTTGTAGAATAAATTAATTTTAAACCATCATGTTCCAGAATCATTTGCCACGGCCTGACAGCCATTTAATCTCTCCTTTCATGACTTCATGCTGAGACAACGAGATCAATTAACAAATCTCTCTGTCTTCATCTGTGCCAACTGCCAAGCATTTCTCATTGCATTTTGTGTTCGCGTACAAACTTCAATTTCAAGATTAGTTTATTACTGAATTAGGCCCTTGAGCAACTTTTGCCTGAAACTAGTTTTGTAATCATATTATGTCTGTATATTTGTGTTCCAGTGTCCAATTTTTCAAAACCAATTATTAAAAAAAGAAGAAATTGGATGTCATATATCTATGCTGGGTATATTTGCTCTGTTCTACAGAAAATATCCTTAGGCATTTAATAAAATGAGTGATAGTCTAAGTTTGGCTTTTTAGTCTAAAGTTTTGAGTAGATTTATTAGGCCAAAACAAAGTCCTTCAAAAGAAATGTTCTCTCAGTCATTCATTTTTCCAACCAATAATGTATATTTTCCTATAGATCTCCCTTGACTACAAGTATTACCAATAAAAAGGTTAAGAAAAACCCAGAGACAAATTGTATTGCTCTGATGTTGCTCTTTTATTGCTTATGAGCCTTGATTGAGTTGTGTTTCAAGAAAGTATCAGCTTTATTTCAAATGTTTCTCCTTTAATTCCTCGAGAGGAATAAAAATAGACACATATGAGATAGATTTTCACACACAGTAAAAGTTTATAACTATAAAATTAATAGATTGTTTGGTCTTAGTATTGAGATATCATTATTTTTATTGCAAAGACACTGTAAAGATCTCTTATGATGCACTTTATGAGAGACTTTTTTCAAATTGTATTTTTAAAATATTTATATAATATATATTTTAAATATAAATAAAATAAAATTTCTCAAATACTTTTTTGGCAAATTGGTGTCTAAAGGTACGGTCACATTTACTCTTTCTCAGCAAAATTTTGCAGTCGAAATCCAGTTATTTTGAATTGAAATCCACACAATCGAGAGTTTTGTGAGGGCGAAAGATTACCTTGTACAGATTTTGCAACGGGTTCAGGTTGTGCAAATTTGTTGTGTTGACCAAAAGAAAGCTGCTTGATTTATGCTTTTTGTGTACATGACTAAACTTTTGAGAATGGACAATGGATCTCTTTGGCCTGCGAAATTTTGTGCACATTTAGCCAATGTGACGGTACCTTAATTTGCATGAATTCTTATGATCTCACTCTTACGTTTTTGTATGATCTGCTTACAAGGTGGACCATCATGCTTATTTTTTTTTCTAAAAATCACACTTTTTTTGTATGATTCACATTGTACGAATTAATACAAAATTGCCACATCGTAAAACAGTCACATTTTCTCATGAGATTGTGATTTTTCTGTCATAATGGGAAGAAACAAACCTTCAGTCATTAAATGAGTAGGCCTGCCTTTTCGTGGTTTACTACTTTCCGAGAGAAACATATGCAGCAGAGTTGTGTAATATTGTTCAAACATTATTCCGAGTCTTTATGAATCAGTGGTGGCGGGAATAACAACATGAACAAAGACGGCGTGGTTTGAGATGTGAGGGTGTGTGCATATTGTGCCATTGGGGTTTCATTAGAGAGGTGTGAAGGGGTGTGTTAGTGTATTTTTGTGTGTGGACGAAGGGTATACACTTTACCTCCTTTGAGGAAACCTACCTTCTTTGTGTACATCCACTGTGTTAAAAGGAAAAGACATTCATTTACATGCGGTGCATTAATTGTATTCCCTCATTTGTATCAAATGTAGATTGAGAGGAAGGTAGAGAGAGAGTGAGAGAGAGAGAGTGGGAGGGGAATGATTGAGGCTATTATGAAAGGAAAATAGAGACAGAGTGAGGAAGAGAGATCGTGTCGCGCAGACGAGAACATCCTTATTGCGACAGGGAGCTGCAGTTGCTTAAAGAGAGAGAAAAAATCTTTTAAAATTAGAAAAGGCCAGTGGCCGTTATTGACGCAGAGCGCGCGCGGCACCAGCAGCGTCACTGGAGGAGGCAGAGAGACGCGAGCACGTCCTCACTCAAAGCGGTTTTATAAAGGTAAGAAAGCGCGTTTAAACCTTCATCTTTCGAAACGTAATGATCCACTTAACAATTTCATTTGTATGGCATTTTCTTCGCTATTTGCCTGTTTTTGTGGCACAATCTCGGACGACAAGCGCTGTGTTTATATTCTGCTTTGAGAATTGAAGCGTCCCATAATAATAATCTCTTAGAAAGGCATTGCGCAATACAGTCTAGCGGAATTATATTTAGGAATATTTCGGTTAACTATGCAACACTGTGTAGTTATTAGGAGGTCTATATGAAATAAACACGTCTATTATAAAATAATGGGGTGGACTGGTGTGAACGGCTAGTAACGGCGTTTTGTTTACACGGGAGTGACGACCCTCATTGAAATCATAGCAGCGTGAGTCTTACCTTAAACACCTGTGCAAACTGCTGGCCAAAGACAAACATAAATTACTCTTTGAGAAGTCTGTTATATACCAGAAGTGATGTTATAGGAGAGAGTTATGCATATGTTAACACTGCATAACGTTTTATATTGCAATAAAGAGACATACTACTCATACTGTATGTTGAGGAGACCGGGGCTAGTTGTCACACGAGGACGTTTAGAGTCAAAGGTCCAATTATTAGACAAATGTGTGTTTTCTCTAGCTGTTGTTTTATATGTTGGTTTCACACAGCTTGTGCGAAACTATATACACATTAATATTGGGGCAAGCTGTCAGACTTAGTCTAATCTAAATCTCATAAATGTATACGATTTATGTATTACGATATTATTTGTAAAAAAAAAACAAAAAAACATTTTTTTTAATTAATTGTTTTGTTTATAATTGTTTCGTTTGGCTAAAAAGCCTATAATAGGTGTTTAATGGCAGGTTCCAATGTGACAACTTACCCCATATAAGTATTTTTTTTCTTCTGCAAAAGTTTTAAGGTGTGTGTCTATTCAGAAATGTAATTTAAAAAAAAAAACCTTATATAAACAATACGTTTAAATATAATTTTTAAAAATAGAGTCATGTACTAGCTTTGAAACATTATTAATTAAGTTGAAATATTAAAGGATAACAATAAAGGCATTTTCAATTAAGTCATCTTCAGCAATAGAGACTACAATTTTCTTCGCTGATTCCGATTTCCGATTTTTTTGGAAGTGTGGCCTGCCGATACCGATTTTTGCCGATTCCGATTTTCTTTCAAAGAACTATAATTGACAGCATATACAAACAAAAATCTATGCAAATTTCAATGCAAAAACTGTTTACATAATAAAAGAAATTATTAAACATTACAATTCCCCCAATCTGGAATAAGTTACAGATTCTCACTTGAACAACTCTAAAAATAAAGTGCTCTGTGACTGGAAAGAGGAAGAAATAGTTAACTTAAAATTAGTTGCTGTATGCTAGCTTAAAATTTTTATTACTGTATGTAATCAAACAGATGTAATTTCCCACTATGTTTATAGATGTTCATTTCCCCCCCTAACCTTATTAAATTGTCATCTTTCACATCAAATTCTTACTTTGTTTCAATGAATTCAGTTAGAATAATAAGAAACTGTAGAGTTGTTACCATTCAAATGAAATTAGTATTAACAAACTCTATCTTTCCACTGCTGAGGAAACAGAAGCTGCATCTGAAGTGGCATTAGATGCATTTACACAGACAATTTGATGAAGCTGAGGTGCCATAAATGCATTTACACTGCAAAATTTCAAATGCATAAATAATTTTATAAGATTAAAGGTGGGGTAAGCGATTTCTGGTAGCCAATATTGACATTTGAAATCACCAAAACAAACACGCCCCTACCCCAAAAGGGTCTCGCCCCTATTTTGATAGCTCTGCCCCACACATACGTACGCAACCCAGACAACGAGTAGTTCTGTGAAACAAAGCAAAACCAATGTTACACCGGATCTACACCAGACGCGAGTGGCGCGGCGCGACAAAATACTATAGAACTCAATATAATCAGTGATGCTGTCTACACCATAGATATATATATACATTGGTCTACACTGGATGCGGCGTGGTACGACACGACAAATCCCCGACAGAAAACTGCTGCTGCATTCTATTTATGACGTATTGACACAAATTTCAAATGATTTTCAATGGTCGCTTTGTCGTGTCCAGTGTACTAGACAGACTTTAGCTGTTGCGGCGCAGACAATTTTCTAAAGGGTTTTTGAAAAATCGCTTACCTCACCTTTAATGTTTTACATATTTTTTTAAACATACAAATAAATGTTGAAAAAATGCAATGATACTTTTAAATCACCAAAACAAACACGCCCCTACCCCAAAAGGGTCTCGCCCCTATTTTGATAGCTCTGCCCCACACATACGTACGCAACCCAGACAACGAGTAGTTCTGTGAAACAAAGCAAAACCAATGTTACACCGGATCTACACCAGACGCGAGTGGCGCGGCGCGACAAAATACTATAGAACTCAATATAATCAGTGATGCTGTCTACACCATAGATATATATATACATTGGTCTACACTGGATGCGGCGTGGTACGACACGACAAATCCCCGACAGAAAACTGCTGCTGCATTCTATTTATGACGTATTGACACAAATTTCAAATGATTTTCAATGGTCGCTTTGTCGTGTCCAGTGTACTAGACAGACTTTAGCTGTTGCGGCGCAGACAATTTTCTAAAGGGTTTTTGAAAAATCGCTTACCTCACCTTTAATGTTTTACATATTTTTTTAAACATACAAATAAATGTTGAAAAAATGCAATGATACTTTTAAATATGACTAAACCACCAGTAGGTTGCGGCAAATGTCTTTTTAAATGAGTGAGTCATTTATTCATTCATTCAACCGATTCATTCAAATGGCTGATTCATTCAGAAACGAGGCAGGTGACTGTCCTTATGAATGGGCCACTAAATCATTGACTCACTAAATTAATTCAAAAACGTGGATTCATTCAGTAACGAAACACCGCTGTGTGTTGCTCGGAGACACAACAGTTCTGCTGTGGCTTTGATCTGAACTATTTTCGTCAGCGAAATTGAGCAAAAACAGTTAATATTTTGTCTAAAATCTAAGTCTTTAATTTCTTGTTTATTGAAATGCTATTGTATAAAATCAGTGTCACATTGCAATCGTATTGATATTGATATTCGGTGAAACATCATGGCCATATAATGTTGCTTATCTAAATCATATTTTGTAATTATCTTTTTTTCTGCCGCAGTATGCATTTATAAATTTGTTAATTTGTGTGTGCTGTGTCTCTCACACACTCACTCAGGCTGTGCAAGCCTCATATAGCACGACATAAATACATTATCAGTCGCCGTTTACACTGAATGCAATTAAAATTAGAATCATTCTCACGCGAAACGACATGTTTACATGCGACTGTGAGTGTGCGCGTGGCAGTGACGTCATTGGCGGCGCTGCTGGCAATAAAAGGATCGGCTCGGAATCGGCAAGATGTGAGACTGACCGGCCGGTCACCGATCCAGGCTGGTCATGTGAAAAATCATCTGATTCCGATCACTGGCCGGTCAATCGTTGCAGCTCTATTCCACAACATGTTGTAAAGAATATAGACCCGAGTCTGAACAAATTGCTTCAGTTCATAAATTCTCATCATACACAAAAGCTCACCAAGGTCAGTATGCCCCAATACTTACCGCCTTGTTCTGTGAGTCAGCCCTGTGGCACGAAATTCTCGCCTCATGTGTCGGATTTTATTCTGTTCATATCAGTTGAATCTGTAGGACTTCATAAAAGCTGTCCTGTTACTGAGAACCGACTGAATCATTTTAGGCTTTTCTCTGTTATTATTGTGTGTTTTTTTCACCATGCGTTTTGCACCATGCTTTTCAGTGGGTTTCCCTTTGAGTTTTGTGATCAGTCTTCACTCAGTTTTCCTTGCACTCTTTGTAGCTCTTTAATCTCTTCCTGCCTCTTTCGTGCAATCTGAATCACCAGAAGTATTGTTTAGAAGTTAGATCTAATGAACATGACCAAAAACTGAACTTGACTGGTTTTTCACATCATAAATGATTCTGGATTTTAGCCCAACCGCATTTTGAAAACTGGAAAAGGTAATCTGCGCAAAGCAATAAAGGTAGTATATAAATGGTCAGTGACTCAGGTTTATTGGTCACATTTGTAGTGAGAGAGAGCATTTCAAAGGCATTTTGGAGGCTGGGGACAGCCATGGCCAAGGGTTAAACCTGCTAGTGACAGACCGAGCAGCGGCAGCAAATTAAAGCTCAGTGAAGCACTAT